ATGTTTAGAACACAATAATAACGATATGGTGGAACAAATTTCTCCACTGGCTTTACACCACTTTCCTTGAACCAATCTCCTGTGTTGAAAAAGCTGACCATCATTTTATCCTGTAGAATAAACATATATGATTAAWAAATAAAACTAAATATTTATAAACTTATAAATACAAAATGTAACAATAAGTAACAAAATCTATTAAAAATAAATGTATTATAATTTATTTTTATTGTGTTTTGTAATTAAACATAGTTTTTAGTATTTAACTCTTCATAAAAAAWACAATATTWCAACTATCATCTTTTAGTATATATAATTTTGAAACATATATGTTGGGTAACTACATTAATTTGACACTAGTATTTTTGGATTTTATTTACCTAAATTGGTTTTATTATATGTTTCAGATTAGCAAAAAATACGTAAAATTATATTTAAATGGCTATTATTGTTTTATCTTTATTATTTAAATTTGATAACAAATATATTATTGWTATATATGTTATTCAAGTTGCTTTTGGTTACTTTTTCGTTTTGGTGTGCTATCCTCTTAAAAAAGTGATTTTCATTCCTTTATTTTGGATATCAGACGATATACATAAGGCTGATAWGATATTAAAAAAGATTAATTTTTGTCTTTAATTTATCAAACAGTGCACCTACGTTGTATATGTATGTTCGGTTATTTATTCTTACATATAAACATATGGTATTTAATATTTATATAATTTATTTTATGTACATAGCCTAGTGAGTCTGMTGCAATTGGATTATTTTTAATTTAAATTGGGAGTGTGAAATTATTTCCAAAACCAAGCTGATTATATAAAATATGGTCTATTACTTTTTTCTCGTACATGTCGTACATCCATTTTTCACACGCCTTATCGCCTTCTGGAACCTGTTCAATAGGTATTCTTTCCATGTACACATGTGCCTCTAATCGTTGACCACTTAGCAATGCTCTCAACGATGGTTTTTCTTTTCTGCATTTCCGAAAACCATAATAAAAAGAAATGAGTTATAAAACAAGTTGTCGGTATTCGGTGGAAAAAATTCAGTGTACCTATTATACAGGTCATAAGACTCATAWGGTGCATAGCCTGTACAAGGTACAATGTACAGTGTACCTACACAACGCAAGGCTATAAATAATGACTAAAATTTATATTTTTAGCCATGATGCTAGACGTACCCTTTGAAAGCAATTTGGACGTTGTAGACGGCTGGCAAATTGTGTCTAAAATGAGGTAATCCAATGCTAAAACCTTTAGTCCTCGGGAGCAAGTGTTCCTTTAACTCAGGTAGTCCTTTCGACCGGGCAAACTTAATGCTGGCCTCTTGTTTATCCTTGGTGAACCTGGTGCCTTCTGCGTATAGCAACATCTGCAGCACGGAAGTTTTGACACACAACATTAAAATATTACCTTAGTAGGTATATAGGCATAAATGGTCACCGTACTGACATTTTTTTTGAATTGTAATAATTACCGTGAC